ACACACATATATATATATATATATATATATGTATGTATATATATATATATATATAGAGAGAGAGAGAGAGAGAGATAATAAATATATATATATATATAGATAGATAGATAAATATAAACTGAGGTAGATAGATCGATCGATCGATAGATAGATAGAGAGAGAGAGAGAGAGAGAGAGAGACGCGAACATAGATATAAACAGATAGATAGAAAGAAAAAGAACGAAAGAAAAATAACCCCAAAACACACACACACACACACACACACACACACACACACACACACACACACACACACACACACACATATATATATATATATATATATATATATATATATATATATATATATATATGAATGGTAATTGTAAAATTAGCTGTTTCCATATAGGAAACCTTCGGCATTCATTGCCCGACACATTCAGTGTTATTCTTGGTTGAAATTTATAAAATATTTTTGAAAGTGTGTTAGAAAGTAGACTTCTGATGTCCACTAAATGTTATAGATCTTTCTCATACTGATGGATGCTTCCTTTATTTACCTTTTGTTTTTAATAATGTGGAAAAGTTTAACAGCTTCATTATATCCTTATTTTCTCTCCTAATTACTGGCTCTGTCCAAAAGCAGCAGCAACAACAATCTGTATCGCAACAACCTGAAGTGAAATGGGTCCCGTCAGGCTATCTTGCCTTAGACACATCGCTGCCGCCATAGCAGTACTAGATGTGGTGTCCTTGCTATAGGTTAAATAGTAAAGTTAACAGAGCTCTTGAATTGGAAGCCAGTCTTGTAGAAGGAAATCTAAATTTAAAATCAACCTGGAATGGGCGCTTCTGGCTATCTTGTCGTAGACACACCACTGTTTCCATGACTGCAGGGCATGTGGCGCCCTTACAATGGTTAAATAGCAAAGCTAACTGTACTCAATTGACATAGAGCGGCAACCAGTCCAGGAGAAAAATGGTTTGGTTTATTTTGTTTTACGGCATATCAACCTCAATGTGTTATTTAATGCCGAAAACATTTTTAGTATAGATTCGTATGAATAGAATATGTATTCTTTGGTTTAGATTGGTTTGGTTTATTTTGTTTTACGGCATATCAACCTCAATGTGTTATTTAATGCCGACAACATTTTTAGTATAGATTCGTATGAATAGAATATGTATTCTTTGGTTTAGATTGGTTTGGTTTATTTTGTTTTACGGCATATCAACCTCAATGTGTTATTTAATGCCGACAACATTTTAGTATAGATTCGTATGAATAGAATATGTATTCTTTGGTTTAGATTGGTTTGGTTTATTTTGTTTTACGGCATATCAACCTCAATGTGTTATTTAATGCCGACAACATTTTTAGTATAGATTCGTATGAATAGAATATGTATTCTTTGGTTTAGATTGGTTTGATTTATTTTTTTAAAGACATATCAACTTCAATGTGTTATTTAATGCCGACAACATTTTTAGTATAGATTCGTATGAATAGAATATGTATTCTTTGGTTTAGATTGGTTTGGTTTATTTTGTTTTACGGCATATCAACCTCAATGTGTTATTTAATGCCGACAACATTTTTAGTATAGATTCGTATGAATAGAATATGTATTCTTTGGTTTAGATTGGTTTGGTTTATTTTGTTTTACGGCATATCAACCTCGATGGGTTATTTAATGCCGACAACATTTTTAGTATAGATTCGTATGAATACAATATGTATTCTTTGGTTTAGATTGGTTTGGTTTATTTTGTTTTATGGCATATCAACCTCAATGGGTTATTTAATGCCAACAAAATTTTTAGGATAGATTCGTATGAATACAATATGTATTCTTTGGTTTAGATTGTTTTTTTTTTTTTTTTTCCCCGCGTTATATCAACCTCAATGGGTTTTTTAATGCCAACAAAATTTTTTTTATTGCTGGTAATATTTTGTTTTGTCAAAAACCTGTTTCTGGTAATATTTTTCCTTCAAAATTGTATTGCTGGTAATAATTTTTCAAAAAAATATTGCTGGTAATAGTTAACTATTTGCTCATAGCTGGGACCCTAACAGGTGCTACCACCCCGGGTCAGGGTGGACCTGGGAACATCAGCAATCAGGAGGTGGTTCCACGCTCCTCAGAACCCCCTGATCAGAGGCCTTGCTACTGGGCGTAGTTTATCGTCTTACCCAGGACACGCGGATGTAGTTTAACGTCTTACCCGGGACGACCAGGAGAAAGTAATCTGAATTCAAAACCAACCTGAAGAAAAGTGGGCTCCTTCAGGCTCTTCTGCCTTAAACACGCCACAGTTGCCGTAGCTACATCATATATGGTGTCCCGGTTAGCTGTGCAATCTTGCCTTGAAATGGCAACCAGTTTAGGAATAGGAATTCAAAATTCAAAAGCAACCCGAAGAGAGATATCCTCCGTCATGCTATCTTGCCCTAGACACATCACTGTTGTCATAGCTGCAGTACATGCGGTGTCTGTACTATAGGTTAGATAGCAAAGT